CATGCCCGGGGTGCTGCAGGCATGGCCGGGGAGCCGAGCGGTGCCCCCGGGGGGATTTGAGCAGAGTCAGCTGGGAAGGGGGTTGTTTCTGGGCTGGAAAATAAAAGGACAAAAGCAGTTTGGTGAAATAACACTTTTCCCCCCCTCATTTTCCTTGTTTCTTCTTTCCCTTTGGGCTGGAGCTTCCCTTCAAAGCTCAGGCTGGACAGCCCTGGGGCTGGCACACGGGGACGGCCACATCCCGGGGTCACCCCACCAGGCACCTGGGGGTGCCAGCCCGTAGGGAGGGAGCTCGGTTTAAAGCTTAGCTGGAAACCAGCAGCCCCAAGGCCCGGTGAGGCTGATCCTTGCACCCCAAGCTGGCAGGGCCTGTCCTGGCTGTGTGTCAGGGGCACAGCGCGCAGTGTCTATCCTTCTGTCCGTCCCGGCCTCCACCAGGCTGGCAGCGCTGGTGCCCGGGTCCTCCGCACCCTGGGTGGGATTCGGCATGGCTGGGGAGGGAGGGAGAGACCGGGAGTGCTGGGCTGGTCCCTGGGCTTGGGGTGAGGTGTGCGATGGGGATGGAGGATGGGGTGGAGGATGGAGATGGAGGATGAGGATAGAGGATGGAGGATGGGGATGACGATAGAGGATGGAGATGGAGGATGGGGATGAGGAGGATGGAGAGCAGGGATGAAGATAGAGGATGGAGGATGGGTATATGTATGAAGGATATGTATGAGGGATATGAAGGATGGGGATGAGAATGAAGATGGGGATGGAGGATGAGGATGGGGATGAGGCAGCTCTGAACATTTCCAAAAGCTCTAATCCAGGCAACAGAAGGTACCTGCGAGCTGAAAAGCTGTTTTGACCTCCCCAGGGCCCAAGGTGGCATGTGGCATGCCAGTGGGGAAGATCGGGATCCCAAAACACGTGGATGAATGGCTCGGCAAAACGGGAAGAGAGGGATTTGCTCTGGAGTTTCCCCAGCAGCTCCAGCCCATGGTGCTGAGGGCTTTGAGCCCTCCTGGGTGGCACTAAGGGGATTTGGGTGGTGGGGATGGATGCCAGTACCCGTCCCCAGCCACATCCTCCAGCCTTTAGGAGTCTGTGGGGACACGGCACAGCGCTCGCCCCAAGACACCTCCTCTCCCTCTTGGTGAGGCGACTGGGCAGTGGGCTGCCAGCGCTTGATGATTTGTGGGTAATTACTGCAGATAATGAAATATTTAACCATCGTCTTTATTATCGGGGGTAGCGCCGAGGCAGGCAGGAAGCTGCCACCGTTTGGGCAGGGCTGTGCTGCCATCGCTGCCGGGTTTGGTGCCGGGTTTGGTGCTGGCGTGAGCTGGCAGAGCCGGGTGATCCCCATGTGGTGGCCGATGGATGGAGGTTGTGGTGGTGACAACCACCCTGTGTCCCCCAGCTGTCCCTGGACAGGGCTGCCCCTGAGCAGGGCATCACTGGGGGTCTCTTTTGGGGACAGAGAGGGCACAAGCCCATCCTATGGGACACGGGCTCCTTGTGCCCTGGTGCCTTGTCCCCATTGTCACCAGAGATGTAGGACTGGCTCTGTTTCCACCCAGGACTTTTGCCTGGGGCCTGGCTTTGCTATTGATTGCCGGAGGGGCTTTGCAGGTGATTTTTCTCTTCCTTTGTTTTCCTGCTGGTGCCGTGGCTGAGGCGTGGTGGCCGGTGTCAGCTCTCACGGTGGATGTTGCTCATGGTTGAGAGGACACTGGGACGCCGTTCAGTGTCTGTCCCCAGGCCGGCTCCATCTGCCTGGCCCTGGGTGCAAGGAGGATATCTGACTGCATCCTTCTTATGGAGACGGGCAGTGCTTCCCGGTGGGATCTACTTGCCTCCCCCACCATGCAGCCCTTACCCGCAGGTACCCATCCAGCTGCGGGTTTCTCTCACATGCTCCTCCATCTCCCTGCCCGGCTGTATGTCCCACACGCTCTCAAGGCTTTGCAGCAAGGAATTTACTCACTGCTGGGCTCTGGATAACATTAATTCCCACTGGGGAAAAGCAAGCGGAGGCTGCTGTGGAAAGCATCCTCTCGTTCCCCCTCTCTTTCCCCAAGCCCCTAGGTAAGTGAAGGTTTCCCAGCAGGGAGCTTCCCCTGTTCCCAAATTTCCTTCCTGGTTTTTGGCTTCATACCCTGATGGGAGAAAGAGGAAGAGGAGCCCCCAAGTCACATTTTTCTGCAGCATCTCTCCCGTCTCTGGCCCAAGGCCAGCCTGGGACATGGAGAGGGCTGGGGTTAGGGGTCCCCCCTGGGCTGGGAGGGCTGAGCAGGGCAGCCCTTTACTGCAGGGTGTCATGGGGCTCGAAATGTGGGTGCTGCCCTGCCTGCTGCAGGCAAAGGGGGACCCCCTGGTTGCTCTAACAGGGCTGAGCACCCAGGGGTTGCAGAGCCCTGGCCAGCTCCTGCTCCAGCAGCAGCAGCTCCAGCTGCCCGTTCCTCTGTGCCTCTGCGGAAATAAAGGCTGCTGGCTCCAATCTGCATGGTAATAATGGGGAAAAAAAAGGAAAAAAAAACCAAAAAAGCCTTGTAATTAAGCAGTCAGCTGCCGTCCTCCCCGGGCAGGCTCGTCAGGAGATAAATGAGTGCGTGGGGCAGCCGGTTGCAGCAGCGGGAAAGCCAGGGATGTCCCTCGGGGATGCCGCGGGGTGGGAGATGCCTTCCTGCCAGACTGGGACCCCCACAACCCCAGAGAGAGCTCTGAGGCTTTTTTTCTTCTCAAACAGCAGAGAAACATCCTCAAAGCCTCTTGTGTGTGATCTGCGTTCCCACCCTGGCTCTGTCCCACCTAGCATGGCCGTGGAAAGCTCTGGACCGCCTGGTGTCCCGCTGGATCGGCGCAGTGGGAAAGGTGAGCCCTGCCTGGGCTCAGAACGGTGCAGATCAGTCCGTGGTCCGTCTGTCCTGCCCTCACGCCCACACTTGGCTGAGGGATCCTTCCTTGGGCCAGCATTTGGCCCCATCCTCCTTGGACAGCATATGTCAGTCACCCTGAGCATCACAGACAAGGGTTGGCTGCTTCCCACGTAGGGAACAACATGCAGGCAACACCTGTCCTTGGAAAAGCCTCTCAGACAGGGTCCCTGGGATGGAAACACCCCAGAAAAGCAGCCGCTGACGAAAGTTGCATCTCTGAGCCCAAAGCCAGCGTGGAGGGCGAGGGAGGGTGCTCTGCCTTCACCTCCGATGGTTTCTCTTTGTGTAGGACTTTGCAGGAGAAGTGTTTGTGGGAGCCCCTGGTAAGGCCCAGGCGATGCCTCTGCAGCCTGGCTGCCACTGGTAGTTAAGGCAGTGGATCTCCAGTGGGAGCATCCCGTGCTGGGGAGAGGGCCAGTGCTTTGGGCAGGGGAGCTGGGGCGTCGCAGGAGGGGGAGATGGAGGCATGGGTGCTCAGCTGTGCACCGACGGCCTGAGGTCACCGAGACAGGGTTGTTTGTGTCTGGTTGATCCAGGAGATCTGGGAGCATCCCCTCCCTCAGGCTCAGGGAGCATCAGTCGGAGCCTCAGCATGGCAATGCTGCTCGGGAACGGCTGTCCTCTTCTGGGGGGTTATTTTTGGAGCCAAGTGAGGAAACATTGACTGTGGTGGCAGAAGAAGGAGGCAGGGACACGTGAAGGCGACAGAGCAAGCAGGCAGCAGCCGGTGGGCAG